TATTTGTTAAAAATTAATATTAGAGTTATATTATATATACATTCTAATCATTGTAAATCATATTTAAATTCAATTCGTTAGATATTTAATACGAATATTCAGATACCCTTTGTATAGCACAGACTAAGCGCAATTTTTTTAAATCGAATTAGCCGCAACTTGAGCTAATTATTTCACATTAAGTCAAGCTAATATAACCTACAGCCTATACATTATACTTAAATACATTCACACACATATCCAACATAATAAGAAAAGACTTTAAACCCTTTTTAAATGTCGTTTATCCCACGTTTGACGCGTCTCGTTTACCAAAAAATGTCAACAACACCGATTGCAGTATTCAATCAAGGCGACGAGGGGCGCTCCTGGTATATTTTACTCAAAGGCTCTGTGGATGTTGTGATACATGGCAAAGGCACTGTTGCCACACTGAAGACTGGCGATGATTTTGGCAAATTGGCTTTGATTAACGACGCACCCAGGTAAGTGATGCTGCCAGTCAGCCAGCTGCGAAAACCTTTTACAGTTAAAGAGTGAAATATAAGCTCGTTGCCCCCTTGTCAGTCAGTTGGCTTAATTCTATTTTGTAATCTATTGTATTTTTTTTTTTCCTCTATTTTTTGCTAGTCAAAAGAAATTGTCTATACGAACCGTATACCATTAACAATTCTCTTTAAATCGTTTCTGGCTACATTTTGGCACTTTTATTTTATTTTTTTATCGCTTTTGACCAAGTTACTGTACTAAATGACAGAGAGAGAGAGAGAGAGAGAGAGAGAGAGAGAGAGATATTTTTATATATGTATGTATATATATGTAGACAATGTGCGCACAAGGGCCAACAATGTGCCCACAGATTCAGCAAGTGCGGCTGGCTAATAGCATTAGACACTTTGTTGTCACAGCCACAGCAAAGATAACAACAACAGCAATTACAACAACAACAACAACAACAACAACGAGAAGAGAGCTATGATAACAATGCCCGATAACAGCAGCCATTGTGCGCCATTTACAGGCAACAATTGCAGATTGAAACAAAATATTTGCCTAGATATAGTTGAACTAGTTGTTGTTGGGCATTTTACTACAACAGCTATTCGAGCGCAACAATAAATCGAATTAGTTTTATTTGTAGTCAAATGAAACGCAAAGAATGTCTGCCAAAAGCGTTTTTTTGGTTTACTTATAAAATAATTAATTATGCCACAAGCAAAAAGCGAATGCAAAACCTTTTCATTAAAAGAAATCAATTGTAAATGAAGGCTAAAATAGCTGTCGACACACACATGAATAGGAGCTTGAATTGATGGGAACTTACTTTAGTCAAATGTATGGAAGATATCTGAAAAGCTCTAGTTGTTTAAGCATGCGAAATATTATCTGACAACTTAAGCCCTTCAACACTTTTAGTCGATTAGTGGGAAATAGCAAATGTTATTGATTATTTAATTCACAAATGATAGAGTGGGTTGTAGAAGGGCAGCTATTAGTATTAATTGTAAGCGCATCTGTCAAGTCTCTAGCTCTGATAGGTTTCACGATGAAAACGCTCTGTTCGTTAGAATTTATTTTATTATATTA